TGTATAGTTATTCAGTTACTTATGCATGTATGTAGGTATGCATGCATGCATGCATGTATGGATGGATGGATGGATGGATGGATGTATATATATATATGCATGAATGAATGAATGAATGTGTATGTATGTATGCATGTCTGTCTGTCTGTCTGTCTGTCTGCCTGCCTGCCTGTCTGTCTGTCTGTCTGTCTGTCTGTATGTATGTATGTATGTATGTATGTGTGCATGTATAAGAGAGCGTGTTCTACCGCTGCTGGCGGTAAACCGGGGGGGTGTCACTAGGGGTTCCCAACCCGCTCCCCCCCCGCCTCGAAAACCGGGGGGGGTGTCACTACCGGTTCGTACCCCCCCCCCCAGTCCATCATGAAAAGGGGGGGGTCACTGCCAGTTCGAATCCCCCCCCACCCTCGAAAACCGGGGGGGGGTCACTACCGGTTCGACCCCCCCCCCTTCGCCGCCGGCAAACGATTCCCGCTCCTCGGGACAGTTGGACAATGGTGGGGATGCTGGGACAGTGGTGGGAACGGTGGTGGTGGAGACAGTGGTGCGGGGACAGTGGGACAGTGGTGCGGACAGTGGTGGGGACGGTGGTTGTGGGGACAGTGGTGAGGGGACAGCGGGACAGTGGTGGGGACAGTGGGACAGTTGTGGGGACGGTAGTGGTGGGGACAGTGGTGAAGGCGGTGGTGAGGACAGTGGTGGGATAGTAGTACAGTGGGGAAAGTGGTGGGGACAGTGGGGACAGTGGGACAGTGGTGGGGACAGTGGGAACGGTGGGACAGCACAGTGGGACAGCGGCAGGGACAGTGGGACAGTGGTGGGTACAGTGGGGACAGTGGGACAGTGGTTGGGGCCGTGGGGAAAGTGGGGAGAGTGGGACCGTGGTGGGACAATGGTGGGGAGATTGGGGACAGTGAGACATTGGTGGGGGCACTGTTGGGGACAGCGGGGACGATGGTGGGAACAGTGGGGACAGTGGGACAGTGGTGGGGACGGTGGTGGTGGGGACAGTGGTGTGAGGACAGTGGGAATGTGATGGAAACAGTGGGACAGTGGAGGGTACAGAGGTGGTGGGGACTGTGGTGAGGGCGGTGGCGAGGACGGCGGTGGGACAATGGGACAGAGGTACAGTGGGGACAGTGGTGGGGACAGTGGGGACAGTGGTGGGAACAGTGGAACAGCTCAGTTGGACAGCGGCGGGAATAGTGGGACAGTGGGGACAGTGGGACAGTGGTTGGGGCCGTGGGGAAAGTGGGGAGAGTGGGACCGTGGTGGGAACAGTGGTGGGGACAGTGGGGACAGTGCGACAGTGGTGGGGGCACTGGTGGGGACAGTGGGGACGGTGGTGGGAACAGTGGGGACAGTGGTGGTGAGGACAGTGGTGCTGGGGACAGCAGTGGAGGATGTGTTGCGGACGGTGGTAGGGACCCAGGAGTCGTTTGCTGGCGGTGAGCGTTGGTGGGGGGGAAGGGGTTCGAACCCGTAGTGCCCCCCCCCGGTTTTCTGGAGGGGGGGGTTCGAACCCGTAGTGACCCCCCCCTGGTTTGTCGGAAGGGGGGGGAGGGGTTCGAACCGGTAGTGACCCACCTCTGGTTTTCTGGGGTGGGGGGAGGGGTTTACCGGCCCTTGCCGGTTTTCCGGTTTTCCGGCGGGGGGGGGGTTCGAACCAGCAGTAGTGACCCCTCTCTCGGTTTTCCAGAGGGGGGGGGGGTAGGGGAGAGGGGGGTTTTGCTGAGGGAAGGGGGGGGGGTCCAGCAGGGGGGGGGATTTTCGGAAGGGGGGGCCCCCCCGGGTTCCGGAGGAAGAAGGGGGGAATTTTCCACAGTAAAGCTGCTATGGATCACGCTCTCTCGTATGTATGTATGTATGTATGTTGGTATGTATGCATCTATGCATGCATGTCTGTCTGTCTGTCTGTCTGTCTGTCTGTCTGTCTGTCTGTATGTATGTATGTATGTATGTATGTATGTATGTATGTATGTATGTATGCATGCATGCATGTATGTATGTATGTATGTATGTATGCATGTATGTATGTATGTATGTATGTATGTATGTAGGTGTATGTATGTATGTATGAATGCATGCATGCATGTATGTATGTATGCATGCATGCATGCATGTATGTATGTATGTATGTATGCATGTATGTATGTATGTATGTATGTATGTATGTATGAACATATATACGTATGTATGTATGCATGCATGCATGCAGGTATGTATGTATGTATGTATGTATGTATGTATGTATGTATGTATGTATGCATGCATGCATGCCTGCCTGCCTGCCTGCCTGCCTGCCTGCCTGCCTTCCTGCATGCATGTATGTATGTATGTATGTATGTATGTATGTATGTATGCATGCATGCATGCATGCATGCATGCATGTATGTATGTATGTATGTTTGTATGCATGTTCGTATATGTATATATACAAGTTTTCCCCAATCAGTGCTTGCACTTAAGGGGTCCTAGCGGATATTAAAAGATTTGGCGA